AAAAAAAAAAAAAAAAAAAAAATAGCGAGCGAAGAACACAGTTCTTGCTAAAGTCTCTTAGTACTCAAATCTAACAGACTTCAGAGAAAGCAAAACCAGCAGTCAACAAAATTATTCGATGTACTTATGCGTGGGAACTTCGCATAGTTACCTTTACGCTAAAATTGTCGTGCTTTTCAAATAGATCATGTGAGGAAAAACGGGCGCTTTCTATTTCGATACTTTTCTCTCTCTGAAGAAAAGATGGAAAATAAGAATTTTTTACTCTTACGTTGATACAAGCTATTGCATCCTTCGAGATTCGTTTTATAGGCGGAGTCTTGTTTTAAAATGTCCAAGCAATAATTAGCAATTATTTACCGAAGTGGAGGTGAATTGTTGTAAATATCCACCACTTCCACAGACACTGAGGTGAATAATTGTTCTAGTATATTCCCCACATATATTAAAAAAATAAGTTTATTTCTTTCAACATACCGAAAAATGGTCAGAAATTAAATTATTGGTGTCCAATTTTGTCTCATCGGCTTCTCCCAAGCTGACCAATCAGCGCGCGCAAAAGTAGTGAGATATTTAACAATTATTCCATGAACGCGCGTTGGATATGAGACGATAGATAGCCAACGAGGCGCTACGCGCCTCGTTGGCTATAATCATCTCATATTCAACAAGCGCGAGTGGAATCATAATTGTTTTATTAAAAACGCCCCTAAGATATTAGACAAATCTTCTCGACTTTATTTTGTAAGAAGAAACCGGATGTTACAATGTACAGATATTAGATTATGGTATATTGGCTCATATACCATAATGGCTAAGCCAATAAAAAGTCTTGACTTGCATTATCCAATGATCCAGTTTTCAATAAACATCTTTATCGAGGTGGTAAGATCGTTATCGAGGTTTTCATTAACAAATGATTACCTTCACACCCTAACATCTGCATGCATATTCTGCAAACTGTTCCCTATAAATGGTGCTGACGAGATGAATTTGTTTAAAAATCAAGAGCTTCGTTTGTTTGTGATCATTTCCTTTGTTGTCATGACCCAAGAGATTGTAAACAATACATAATCTCTTGCATGTCTTTTTGAGGAGAAGTTAGATGCTAGTGACTTCAAAGGGTCAAACGGTTCAAGACATTTTTGGATAGTTTAGTACCTATTTGCCCCAGCAACCAAGCGAACACATGAGATTTGCAAGTAACTTTCCTACAGCGTAGAAACATAATGAGTGGCGCCGAAAAAAATATGGATTGAAAATTACTACATAATTAAAACCTGTAAAGAAGTCCATTACGTAACTAACGCCAGGGAGGCTGTACACATTGTTGAATATTCAACTCGAATCACCTGTGGAACTGCAAAACATACATATTCCTTACCAAGCCTCGCTCCAGATTAGTTACGTTCTCTTCCAAGGCCCTGAATTTGTCTGGATCATTTCTAAGCCTTGCAACGGAAGCAGGAAGCGCTGCGGATGATAAAAACGATCATAACAGGCCAGGGTATACTAAACAAGAATGGAGATACATAGGATTGTCAATATTTAGTCACCCACTGAATAAAAACAATAAAATTTTCGAGGAATTGAAATAATTTTAAAACCGTCTCCCTCGGTGGAAAGCCTGCGAGAAACAATAATAAAAAAATGATAATAAACTTGTACTATGTCGCCCATGTCGTTTCCGTGGTAGCAAAACAAAACTTGTCACTGTTTCGTGCAAATATTTGCTAATCACGCGGTGAAGCAAGGTTGACCCATAATCCGTGGGAGCAGGGAGCCCCAATATTTGGTGTAAGAGCGAGAGATCGTTCTTCGCCGATCAGTGCTGACATAGTTAGTAGAGGGGACTCTACTTTGTTTTAACGTTTTAAAGGCTTCTAAAAGATTTACAGAGTCAGCTGATTCGACAAAGTGCTCTTGCAATTCTTCCTAGTTTTCCAAAGTTTCCAATATGGCATCAAAATCGTCGCCGAAGAAAAATAAGTCGTTCATGTCCTCCATGTTGTTTTGGTTCTGTGCATTGTCATTGGTCACGTGACGTTCAAGCGAAGCTCAGGGGACAGACAATAGGCCCGCCCTTTGAAGTTTACCGCGTTTCCTAACCAGTCCCCTCTACTAACTATGGTGCTGAGTAAGGTTCAGTCCTGAAGCATAGTTGGCAAGAGAGCACGGAGCGAAATGGACCTATGGTGAAAACTTTCCTTTTTATCAATAAAATCAACAAATGTTTCTGCTTGCCTGCCGAAAACATTCGAAAATCTGTTGCCCCCCGTGAGGTTCTTGATTACGAACGTGAAAAGAGTAAATCTCGTCATCTGTGACAACTTCCATTGGTAACAGGAACTTTCTCTGTATAATCAAGACCCAGTAGACCATAATGAAGGGCATTAACTGAAAATATCCTTTCTCAGCCTAGTTTTTAGCCGCAAAGCAACTTGTATGAAAAGATAGAAAAAAGAAAAAACGCAAAGATAAGAGCTGTATTGGGTTTTGTCTAGCTAGCCTTCTATTAGTCTTTTTCAAATACTGCAGCTGTTTCGATTTGCAAGTTTCTCATCTAGAAAATTTGATTTCTTTTGCCTGAGCTGGTTGACCAAAGGAAAATATATTTAGAACAACACTTTTGAAAATACTTTCCGATGGAAACAGACAAACCGGGATTTTTGTGACTCTTCAAGATCCATTTTTTAGGCCAAAAAATCAAAACGAAACAAAACAAACAAACACAAAAATAAAATAACTATAACAACAACAAAGCCGATGACTAGAAAATAAATTCAAGTAAAAAATATACCTTCGCCTGTAAATTTTCCGACTCACTGAGGCGAGTTTTGTCACAAAGAATGCATTTCTAGAGTATTAATTGTCTAACCTTTGTTGGAGCGGCATTCACATTTTTCTCCGATTTCTCCGGACACCAGCAGTAAACTCAGAACAAGGGCAATAACTGAAACTAACAATACGATAACAGCCGCGATTTTCAACCTTGTTGAGCTCGATTCCTCTTCCCATGTTTCGTTAGCAGGGCTCCACGAATTAGGTGCGACTCCATCATGGCTGATGCCCGCTTTGAAATCATTCGTGAATTCTCTTAGTTGTACCGGTTTCTCTGCTACAGAATCTTGGCCATGGTAACCTTTGTTTAGCACGAGAAGATGCATCTGGATAGAAGATGTGTCAGTTTGAACTTGATCGCTAGAGGTCTTGAAAATGACTTAAAATTGACCAGTGACCTTCCAAGTGGTATTACTAACAAACTTTGTTACACCCTCTGCCCAACACTTACGTAATCACGAAGAATGTGTTTCTTTTTTGTCTCTTTTCAACAATACGGAAAACGACATGTAAGCGATTGGTATCCAAATACTATAAAGCTTGATATTACTAGTATTGCGGAGATCCAGCTACTTGCATCACAACATTAGGTCAAAAGGGTTTTGAAAAACCAAAAGAGAGGAAAGCTGTAAATCGATTGTGATGAATGTGTTTTTCAGATGTCAAACAATGGTTTTTGGTATGTAATGGTACGATGTTTTCAGAATGTGAAAAATTTTTTGCTGCATTTGCTATATAATAATGGGAACCTAAACAACAATCTATCGCGGTAATGCCGCTCCCTCAATGATGCATGCGTTAAGGTAATATGTCTCAGGAGGGAGGCTTGACCCCTTGTCTTTCCATGCATTTATCAGAAAGATTACCGATTCCTTTACATCTAGGGCGCTACTCAAAGTAGTCGCTAATCTTGCGATCAAATGAATACATGCCTTTCTGCAGGGAAATCATTTGATTTTGGTTCACCCCGAAACAATTACCGCAATCGGTGGAAAAAAGAGGACAATTATTGTTAGAGTTAACGTAATTTCATCACTGAGCTTTGCGAATGATGAACGTCACTCTTTGCAAAACCGTTTAGTTATGGTGTCCGTTTCTGACTCAGCCTCAATATATTGTACATATGAGTGGAAAAATTAGGTGTCATCTCGATGCAGGGCAAGACTAAACGTTTCGATCGTCAACCTTTCGTTCGTCAGTGAAAGGTGGATACTAAAGCTAATCATCACTATTATCATTTTAGCAAAGTTACTCAAGATATTCTTCAGTTGCAATACTTTATCAATTTATTTTTCTCTTACAGCTCTCGTAGTGATAAAGCTTACCCACTAAAGCTTGAATCAGAAACGATTCCAGTTTATTGCCACTTGACGAGCCTTGGTACGTGTGGAGACGGTGGTTGGACACTAGTTATGAAGGTGAATGGTTCTAAGGTCAGTGTAACATAGGAAGTAAAACCTGTAAAAACTTAATGGACAAATAAACTGACAGAAATATGTTGAAGTATTTGTCAAGTCAGCGCTGGTTCTCGTGAGAAGAAATAACACTGTGCTGAAAGATATAAAATGACCCCATCGTCGAGAAAGAAATTACAATAAAGTATTTGAGAAACATAGGCACATTTTGACCCATGGAAATATTTGTGTCATCTCGAAGCTCTACTTTCGAAACTGGTATCTTAGAAACCGGATCCTTATTTAAAATCTATCACAAATCACTTGTAAGAGTAAGGTGTTTCATTATCAAAGCGATCTTAGCAGTAATGAACATCGCTTGAACAGTAGTGAAACAAAAGGCCTGAAGAAATTCAGGCATGTTCAGGATTTGAACCACCAACCAAGCTAAGCTGGTCATTATAATGGTCCATAGTCATTCCTTTAACCAGCTCTCAGTTGGCTTGTTAGCTCAGTTGGTAGAGCACTGGCACTGCACCGGCATCCCAGAGGTCATGGGTTTAAATCCCGTACAGGCCTGAAATTTTTTCAGGTCTTATTTTCATTACTGCTTAAGTTGTGTTCAATAATGTGAAGATCTCTTTGATATTCACTTCTTAACCTGCAGTTCATATCGTTGAATTTCATATATTCACAGTTAAGTAGGGTGTTAATAAACCTTTTGGACATCACCCGTTTGAAAATGATAATGTCCTTGAAAAAAATATCCGAAGGTACTGAAAAATGATTTAGAATTTATCCTTACCATTAGCAGATAAGAAGCTTATGAGATGTCTGTGCACCCCAAACTTGTGCATACTTAAAAAATATTTTCGCGAAGGTTCGCTCACAGACGATATGATACCTGGTTATCAGATTAAATTTTACTTTTGAATCAATGGAACTAAGGAATATACAAGAGGATTTGAAAAGATGGACATGTGACATCTCGTAACCTTTCAACTCAAAGCTTAGCTTTTAACAGATTGTGTTTTCATTATTGTATAGAGTACTTTCCACTATGATTCTGAGATCTGGAGCAATAGGAAGGGATTCAACGTTTCAGCGGGAATGACAGGCCTTGATGAACAAGAGACCAAGCTACCAACTTACTGGAATACAAGCTTTACTAAAATCTGTCTTAGTATGAAAAACGGCGAGCAAGTAAACTTTATCATGATTAACAAAACGGCTGACTCGTTGCACTCACTGATTGCTGACGGGGAATATCGTAACACGTCAATTGGTCGCGATGCGTGGAAGTCGCTTCTAGGTTCCGACGGCTCCTTGCAACTTAATTGTAATAGAGAAGGGTTTAATGCACACACACCGTTTTCTGGTCACCCGAAGGCAAGGATTGGTATCCTTGGTAACGAACAAAATGACTGCAATAGCTGTGATTCCAGAATCGGTTTTGGTACAGCACCGGACTCCAACACCTGTGGAAACGTGGCAGCATGGGGAGCAGATAACGGAAACAAAAATATCAAAGTCATGGGATATATATTTGTTCAGTAATTACACAAGAATTCTTTTGAGAAAAGAGGACCTAGGGAGAGGAACCTCTGCATTCTGGTTTTCACTACTTTAAGTTTAATCCCGTACATTTTCTTATTTCTTTGAGAATAATTAATCCTCCACTTGAGTCATCACCTTGTACACCGCTCAAGCTCATATAATTTTTTATTGTTTCCATTTATGGTACAGGGTATTGTTCCTTGAAAGAGAACCGAAGCCTATACTTCAATTACACCAAACCTCCTAGTTAAGATTGTGCCTTTGCAATCTCTCATTGCAATCGGTAATGTTAACATGCTTATTCAAATAATATTTAGATGGTTTAGCTGTACACTTAATTAATCGATCAGGTGTTTCTCTAGGGTAAGGTCGATCAAGAAGAGCTGTTACACACTTGTGACGAGCGTGCGCCCTCTGTAGGACTCGAAATATGATAGTTTACCACTAAGCACTGAGCGAAGTCAAAAAAAAGGTGTCATATGTTCAAATGATAGAATAGTGGATTTTTCGTATAAGCCTCCTCCTTCGATGATTTTGAAAGCTCATGAATACTTCAATGAGCTTATTGTTAATAATTTGTAAGTGCAAGAAACAACAATTCACAGGCTATACGTTACTCCTCACTACCTCCTTAGTATCCAAACTGATATTTGTTGTCTGTCTAACAACCCAAATCGTGATTGCTTTGAAAATTCTACGGTTTGTTATGGGCCGCGAACACCATTACTAGTGTCACAGCGAAGGTAGCAGTCGAAACAAAACACGCATCATCACCAAAAGCAAAACTGGACAGTGTGATCATTGTTGCCTGTCCCCTTTTTTTTACTAGTTTTTACCTTTTTCTATTTTCTAGTAGCTACAAAGTATTGCTTTCGTTTTGATTAACAAAGCGGCAATGGTTTGCTTTTGGATGTAACGCACATGAAGGGGTTAACGTAAATAGAACGTGTTTAATTCATTCACATAACTGCCCAGTAACAGCGCTGGATTAACGCAGGCCAAAGCTCAAGTTTTTTTTCTCTCAAGAACCAAAAAAGGCACTTGTAGTTCTCAGGTGTATGAACACCATTCCTAATTATGACATAATCACGTAAAGCGCGTACTCTGATTGGTGAGTTCTCTGTCTGACTGTTTCCCCCTGGGTGTAGGCTGCTAACGTCCGTAAATGTTTCCAAGTAAGCATATGTTTCGCAAGAAATTGTTTCTTATAGATATAATGGCTGAAAAATGAGACAGAAATGCCATCCTTTGTCCTATTTGATTCCCCATTTCCTGGACAACCCGCAAAGAGACTGGCAAGCTTAAGCGAAAGCGAGCTTGGAGAGCTTGTTGGCCGACCGCACTAAAAAAAAAAAAAACGAAATAAATCCCAAACTGGTTTGTGTCTACAGTTTAAGGCGAAAAGCAGCTATCAGCTATCAGCACTTTTTAAAGAAATCAATAATGCTGAAAATAAGACGAAATTAGTTGTTGAAGCCTTTACTACTGAGTAAAAATTGCTTTGTTAAAGAGCTTGCACTATAAATAGAGGCTAGAACAAGTTGAAAAATCAAGATCTTTAAATATCCGAATTTTTTAATTGCAGTCTACTGTACAGAAAAAACCAATTCAAACTCCGCATGAAGTGATGAAAATTGGCTAGCGAGATCAAAATCTATGTAAGTTCTATGCAGAAGCCATAAGGAAAGAGGGCGAAGATTACAGCAAATCTACCTTATTAGGATCCTTGATTTAATAGAAAGATTCCTCAATGCCCCTCCTTTAAGCAGAGGCCCAAACATTTCCACTGATTCAAGATTTTCAAGATCAAACTTGGTGCTCGATGCACAAATAAAAAGCATTAAGCAAAGCAGCAAACAAAATGTCTCACATAAACCTGCCATCGAGAAGGACGACCTCCAGAAGCTAAGATACATCGTGGCTTTTTCCTTGTGTCAACCACTATCCATACGGAGGAACGTTTCGTCTCATTTTGCCCTTTTCGAAAGGGCCGTGAAGGTCAAAGAAGCTTCTTCCTCCAAAATTCGGTACATTTTTAAATGACATCAAAGGACAGTTTTTTACTTTTGCTTATGACTGAATAACTGTAGCAATTGTTTATAGATACAAAGCTCAGAAAGAGCTTTCTTTTATGAATTTCAGTAAACGTGGTTACATTTGGCTTCAACCGACTTAACGAGTGAACGCGCGCTGAAAGTTGTGCCATGCCTGGCTTTCGCACGCTTGTTTTGTCTGGTCATGCAAGACTAAACGAAAATTTTTGGTTCAATAAAAGGGAACTCTTTTGCTATAATGTATCTATGTCGTGTTATAAAACAAATGGTACCACAGCGTACGCTATTGATTCTAGAAACTAGAGTCGCTCTCAGCTATCGCCTCGTGCTTTACAACCTTCCGCGTGCATCTATAACTCAATAATGTGCCGTATGGTGTTTACCACTCGTTGATGAGAACCTTCTAAGAGTCAGACTAAGACAAAAGGCAGCGGAGAGGCATAGTTCTCGTCCTTATATTTCCCTGTTAATCATGCACATGAAATTTACGCGCGTCTGAAAGGCCGAACAACGAGTGCATTTCTCAAGTAACCGGGTGCAAAGTTGTGACACGGGCGTAAGTCACAAATAGCGCGCGTCAAAATTTCTTTTGTCTTGACTTTTTGTGATGCCCTAAGGGCTCGTGTAGTTTTGTTGTCTTTAAAATATATTTTTGCTTATTTCCACCAAATTGCATTCGAAATCATGTTCTTACCTATACGGATGAGACGAAAGAATTTGGTCGTCTGCCAACCTAAGCGTGTCTGTTTTGTTAACCTATTTGCAAGGTAACACCTTGGAGTCTCAAGGAGAAAGTTCAAGTCAGAGTGAAAGGGCTAACTAGTTCTTTTTTTTCATATACTCTCAGTGCTTTACAGCTTTTCAACTTCGGAAAGATTATTCTGTTTTGATTTTTTTAGGAATCGGAAGGAGTCGAAAATAACAATCTGCAGGAGGATAGTGTTCGCACTGTAGAGGGTTCATTCTCGTCACAAATGTCTAACAACTCTTCTTGGTCGACCTAACCCAAGAGCAACGCCTGATCGACCCAGGTAGTTGCAACCAAACCATCTAAATTAAATGAGAATAACCATGTTAACATTATCGATTGCAACGAGAGATTGCAAACGCACAATCTTAACGTCATGCGTGACATCACTGGGAGGTATTACATAATTCAGGTATAGGGTTTGTTTCTCTTTCAGAGAACGATAACCTCTACCGTTAATGGAGAAAATTTTATTTGAGCTTGAGTTGGATACGAGGTGACGAATGAAACGAAGGTTAAATTATGATTGTAATTGAAGAATTGAAGACCTTAAGGGATGATCAACATCCTTATGTAAGATTAAAGTTTCCTTTCCCTTGGTCTTCTTTTTCCCAAGAGAATTCTTGTGTAATCACTGAACATATATGTATCCCATGGCTTTGATATTTTTGTTTCCGTTATCTGCTCCCCATGCTGCCACGTTTCCACAAGTGTTGGAATCCCGTCCTGAACCAAAACCGATTCTGGAATCACAGCTATTGCAGTCATTTTGTTCGTTACCAAGGATGCCAATCCTTGCCTTAGGGCGACCAGAAAACGGTGTGTGTGCATTAAACCCTTCTCTATTACAATTTAGTTGCAAGGAGCCGTCGGAACCTAGAAGCGACTTCCATGCATCGCGACCAATTGACGTGTTACGATATTCCCCGTCAGCAATCAGTGAGTGCAACGAGTCAGCCGTTTTGTTAATCATGACAAAGTTTACTTGTTCGCCGTTTTTCATTCCAAGACAGATTTTGGTGAAGCTTGTATTCCAGTAAGTTGGTAGCTTGGTCTCTTGTTCATCAAGACCTGTCATTCCCGCCGAAACATTCAATCCCATCCTATTGGTCCAGATATTAGAATCATAGTGGAAGGTACTCTTTAGAATAATGAAAATACAATCTGTTAATGACTAGGGTTTGAGTTTAAAGGTTGCAAAATGTCATTTGTACATCTTTTTATTTCTCTTCGTTTAATCCTTGGTTCCACTGATTCAAAGGTATAAACTCATTCTGATTACCAAGTATCATATCGTCTGTGAGCGAACCTTCGTGAAAATATTTTTTAGTGTGCACCTGCTGATTTTCCGGCAAGCATATATCATAAGTATAAGGGTAGGGTGCACCGTCATCTCGTAAGCTTCTTATTTGCTAATGGCAAGGATATAACCTAAGATAACTTTGATTATAACTGAAAGTCCAAAGGTGCCTTTAGGAAGTACAACTTGACTTTCGTAAATATTTTTCATTCGGTATTTGCGCTTAGAATGATTTCAGCTTAGAATGAAAAATGGTAAAAGTATCAGATTGTGTGGTTATTTGCCACAATGTTTTTGTTTTGGAAAATTGATTTTGTAATCTTTTTTAAAGTGCCCATATTTAAAATAAATTTCGTGCACCTTAGATCCATTCATCTTCATAACCAGGGTCCAACCACCGTCTCCGCACGCACCAAGACTCGTCACGTGACAATAAATTGGGATCGTTTCTGATCCAAGCTTCAGAGAAAAGGCTTGGTTACCTACAGGACTGAAAAAAGTAGAAATTTGCCTTGAGAAGAGGAGTTTTAATCCCTGAAGTTACCTAAATTACTTTTATAAAGCGAAATTCTTGTTACAGTGTCGATTTTACAATCGATTTCTTTAACTTTTACGTTTCGAGGACCTTGAAAATCTAATAACCTTAACTTTCTACTTGCCATAAGTTCAATATAGGTAGCTTATTTAGAAATAGCGCAGATTGTAAATATCATTTTTAGACACCTTCTTAAACCAAAATTTGAGATTTGCAAAGGAATTTGCTTTGTATGGTTAAGAAGTGCTCATGAACGGGAAAGTAGGCTTAACTGCAATATTGACAACATTATACTCAGTTAAACAAATCAGTTCTATCCGTATCTAGCTCCAGTTATACTCAAGAGAAATGACTAAGTAAGGG